AAGCGAATGAGTAAATGTTAAACCCTAGCAACTGTCTTGGGCACAGTTATAAGTTCCCAAAACTCTAACAAAAATCACAGGTAAAATGTGTAATGTACTTTTGACATAAACCTGAACACACAAACACGATGAGGTAAGAAGGGCGCCCTGTTTTACGACACAGCAGATGGTAAATACCACTAATCTATCAAGTGTACAAAGCTAGATTGTACTCGGAATCGTTAATAAATTGATCATATTTGTTCAAATAAATTACATCTCTTCTACCTTACTAAAATCTCTAAAGGCCCCTTTCATAGAGTTATTAATTAAGTATTGTTAACAAAAATGGTTTTCATTTCAGAGAACCACACTGTGCGAGACCTTTGTTTAAATTCATCAGTTTGAGTCAACATTTCATCAGCGCTGACAGCTCTATTTGTTTCATTCAGAAAATTAATCCCAAGAGTAAATGCGACTTTATTTTCATAAATAATTTGAAGAGCTCTCCGATAATTTGTTAAATCGATTGATTTTGTATATAATAATACCGTGACAGTTTTATTACTGCTTTAAAGGTTTTGGATAGAGATTAATTTTCATGTTAATTCATAAGTTCTCATTCAAGAATTCAATTCCTTTACAAATATTATTACCAGAGATAATTACTATCTGAATACTGAAGTAGCATCTTCTTCGCCTCAGTCAATATCACTCTTTTAAGTTCATATCACATCATATTCACCAGCACAAAAGTCCATAATTGTATATTACGCAATAAGAAGACTTGAACACATGAAAAAAATATTTCCAATAACTTTTCATCAAGATGGCACAATTGGGTTAGTGTATTGTATTTTCTAGGCTGTTCGCAATGTTTGCTTATTACTTAATTATAAACTGTATATAGTTTCGGATTGATTGTGCTAAATATTATTTTAAAATATATTATCATAATTTGTATAAGGTTTTGTATAGCACAACCAGTGTGAAGATTTGGTTGTCAAATCTCATACATGTTTTTTTCACCAAAACATGTACATACACTATTACGGAGTACAAAATTTGTACAGGAAACATCACACATAAACACTTCAATGGCTGTGCTATAAGAAAATATACTGGCATGTAAAGGAAATGTTTTTAACCCTTTCACCCCTATGTAACTTTAGTAGACTCTACTATGCATTGATATGGATGAGTCCATTATGGTCTATAGTGGTGAAAGGTATGTTACAATGTATATATAATCATCATGAGAATCAGGGTTCAGCTTAATTCCCACTGATAAGTGTAAAGTGTTTCTATACATGCCTATTTATTAAAACTTCCTCATATTCACATTGTTCTCAGTGTTTTTATGAACTTTTATGTTCTCTGTGTTTTTATGAACTTTTATGTTGTGTTAATTTCTTGTACTGTACTGTTATCTTTTTGATTTTCCCTTTTTTACTTTGTTTGTGGAAATACAAACTTGTAAGAGATTATGTTCTTGTTAACCATATTCAACACTAATTAATCAAGATTCTTGTATCTTGTCAGAACTCTTTAAATGGATCGCAGTGCAGACATTTTTGTATTGAAATTGGTTCTGAAATTTATTTAATCTATATACATGTGATCTATGCACATCGCAAATATTCCCACTTTTACAGTCAGCTTGTAGGCACGTATGTAACCATAGATATAGATATCAAAACAGAAGAGAAACAGGTACAATATATGTATCTCCTAATTCTATTGTCAAGGACACAGATCTTTTGTGGACCATTTCAAAATCAAGTTGAAGCTGTACTATAGGGAATTTTTAAAGGGAAGGAGATTATTACAATCATTTAGAAAATTTTCAAAAAAAAATTCAAAATTCGGCTAGGTTTGCAGGAAAATTGAAGGGAGGACAGTTGGGGTGGGCATACTTTGAGATTGATGCATTTTTTAGAATGAACGTGGTTATATATGTTTAATGTATAACCTACACAGAATCAAATGATATATACAATTATGTAAGTAAAATGTAAGTAAATATATTTTATACAAGAAGCTTAAAAAGTACAGGTATGACACCCCTATCTTAACAACCATGAAATGTAGGAGTGAATTCTGGTAACATTGAACACTTTATACATGTATTTCAATATTCGTAACTGTTAAACACATTGATCTTGCCATTTCCTACCAATAAGGGAGTCCTATTATACTACAAGGCCTATATTGTAGTCATGCCGATAGATCTGTATAACAACACTGTACTAGTGTGTCAAGTCCACTACACCGCCACAAAGCTGTGTTCAATGTGCTCATTATATGGTCCTTTATAAGACTTTTGGGAAACGCCAGGTGTATTTAGGGCCTTACAAAGGCTCCGACAACCATTATATACACCTGTTATTACACAGCAATACTAGTGCTATGTTTATTCCGTTATACCGGTCTAATTCAATATCAATACTAATGTTATGTCAGCCATACTTCATGTTCTTAAATAAACTTTCGTAGATGACAAGGAAATCTCATGATCTAATATTCAAAAAGTCTTTTTTTTTTAAACCTATATGTACTTGTAAGTGTACTAGTGAAATATTTGAAACCCTTAAAGTGCTGTTCATTGTATTATTAGAATGCCACATTTGAAACCATCTATGAAATAAAAGCTGCTCATTTCGGAAACTGGGCACCAATCATGAAATGAAATCATTAATGAAGCATTCAAAATTTGAGTTCTTTTTCAAAATGAATTAATGTCAGAAATATTTTTGAAACTTTTAAAATTATCAAGAATGCTTAATAATGACTTCTAAAACCGTCTACCTATTAAGACACAACAATATTTCATAATTTACTTAAATAAAATTTAATACGAAATTATATGTTGGTTTACTCAAATACATTTTTTAAATGGATTAACAGTTTATGATTTTTATACCACTGTTAAAATTTTATTTAATATCTTTAAAAACACAAAATTTCAGCAAAAAAAAGAAATGTAAATGAAGCTTACGGATCCAGTAGCCAAAATATTCTACCGTTCTTTTATCAAACAGATATCTTATCAAATACACACAAAATTAGATCTGTTCAGTTGTTATCAAACACGTAAACAAAGCAATCTTCCAAAAGAATCTGATTTTTTTTTTTTTTTTTACATCTGACGGAATATCTGTTTTTTTCACTTTACAAAATAATATTAACTCCAGAATAATTCCCCAGTGAGTTACGAATCTAACTGTTTTGAGGATCACTAGCACATCTATACTTTGAAGTATACCATGAAAGGCTTCTGGTAATTATTATAGCAATTCTAATTTTAATCATTAATTTTTTTTTAATATTCTCCTTCAACACAATTTTCCTACTAAAAAGAAAATATGTTTTCAATTTTATTTCAAAAACTATTAACTACAAATAAAAATCATTCTTTTGGGCTCTTTTATTTCAAATCAATAATTTATATGAAAAGCCATATTAAATACATTATTGATGAGTTCAATATTCATTTCCTTTATATTTCTATAACAAAGGCCATAAAACTTTGAAAAAAAATTAATGTTCACGTGTTTACCCTTTGATTTTTTTTATTTATAATTAATCTACTACATTGGTTTAACAATTTAATTTTATATCCACTTTTGGACCGATTTTTAATATTGAAATTCTAAATATTATGCCATTCCATAAGTTTTCATTTGCCTGTTTCAAAAGTGTATTAGTCCTTCATGAGCACTAGATTATGTGTCTAGACCAACTATACAGATAGCCATATTGTTTTATTCAAATTTGTTTGGTAAAAATTGGTTTAACTTGAACAGTTTATATATAATAAAACTCTGTTCTCTATCACATCAGCAGCTTAACATATCACAATACACTGTGGACATGGTAATTTATATACACATGTGATGCTATTACATAGTAACCCAACACCGCATGTATGAAATCAACAACAGCTATCCATTTCAACACATTATGAGTTGGGATACACACTAACACAGCTGTAGAAATTAAATTTTAAAGTATACATAACAATAAACAAATGGCTAAATCTTGTGCACTTTGTCTGAAAAGTTGTTATTTCAAAGATAATTGTGATAATACTGCAAAAGACCATTACAGACCTGTATCAAGATAGATGTCAATCAATTTTGTGAACTTGAAATCATTTGTGAAGAAAAAAAAACTCTTATCTCTTCACATTATCCCTTCAATTATTAGATAAATTAGCAATACTCTCAAATATTAATGAGTATACTTTTATGATTTGCATAAACTAACACAATCATACTGACATCTATGATATATACAAACTGATGTGTAGTGTAGGTATCTATCTACACTAAGTAAATGGTAGTAAATGGTAGTTTTAATTGGCACCTTCAATAGTGCCATTACAAGGTACTGACAAATTGTGTCAGGTATATGAATTTATTGCCCTAAATTATTGATAACTATGTGTGTTACAAATAGGTAATTGGCTCCTATGATAAGCCAGTCTGTAAGTCTATTCCCTGGTAAAAGGGATAGCACAATGAGATGGGACATCAAACTGGCAGTATGCACCGGCCATGACTAGTTCTGTTGTCATAAATTATTAGTTCTATAAATATTTCATTCACGAATAATAAAACGAAAATCTACCTGTCAGAAAAACGTTTTAACAAAATGGCATGTACATGTACATCTGTGTATTGCGCTGATAGTTCTAACAAGTAAAAAACACGTTAACAGATTTTAAACACCCGACAATTGCGTCATAATACAGTTCATCAGAGCTTCAACTACTCTAAGGAACAGACGTTTTGTATGTATCAGATTTATATAATAAAACCCTATCTGAACTCAGCGGGCCGTCTCTAACGTAAACATAAACAAAAGCCCTGGCCATGTGCTCGGCAGATGGGTGAACCGCACGTGGTAGGGAAAATATCCTGAGCGTGATGCAAAGGCTAGATATGTAAACTACGACTGGAACAGAAATAAATTAAATAGAAAGTGGAATTTACGAAACTAAAAAGCTTTAGACTCACTTTGTTCGTCGAATTTTCTGATGATAGTGTCGATGAAAATATTTGGTGGCGCCACGTGACCTCGCCTGACTGGCATGTTTGTAACATACCCGCCTATATACTCCTGGAATAAACTGCTACCCCATCCTCTGCGGGCACTTCACCATAATCTTAGTCAGCCCAAGATTTTTGTATGTATGAATTTCTTTTTCCAACAAAAGAATTATATATATAATATATTTTAATTAGTATATCCTCTTACATACACTAGTAACATTAGCTGTATAATAGCAGCGTTTTGACCAGAAACAGGTCTCCAAAGGAGATATCAGTCCAACCAATAGACAGCTCGGTCTCCGGGGCCCGGGCGATCTCGGCCAGCTGACGGGGTGTTACTACAGGCTAAATATTTCCTCTATGGATTTTCTCACTACCGACTTGCCATCGCCTGCACATTTCGCCCAACTCGTCTGATTCATGTAAACTCCCGTACAATGACAAAGCCTTGCAGTGCCGGGTAGTGTACTGCCGAGTAGCGTTGTATCGACTCGCTGGCTTTCCGCTGTATCCTCGATAGCAAGTAAGACACGACACACTCTGTCGTACTACACCACACACACACACACTGTGTGGTTCTCTCAACCACCAGGTTCCTATACTAGAACTAAACAGAGGATTTCAGCCTCTCTGCTGCCTAAACACTCGCGTCGACTCGTGCGCCGCATCACATACAAAGGTACGACATCTTCATCCGCATGGCTTTACACTGCAACCGAGAGAGGAAAATTAATACGCATCTTGTTTAGTCAATATCGTAAATGAAGTTGTGTCATATTCGTTAGACTGTGGGGACGCTTGGCTGTCAGAGCATCACAGCTCGTATTTACCGTACGTATGGGACTACTGACGGATACAGAGGCTGCCCAAGAAGCGCGCGCTTTGAATGCCGCGGCAGATGGCGCGCGCGTTGGTGTATATTTTTGTTATCTCTCTGTTTGATATCTATAGAGATCTAAATCGCTCGTACAAAAAAATCAAACTACGGACGGATGTTTCAAGGCAATTTTTTTATATCAGAATTATTGATATAAAGCAAGTATATTCTGTTAGGATTTTAAAATAACACTTGCGATAAAATACTAGTAGTTTAAAAGAAGAGAAAAAATACTAGACACAGAGAAACAAATTGAAATCTTGTACGGAAATGTTAAAAGGGGGAAAACTAGGTCTTTGTATGTGATTTGCTTTTCATTCGATTATCGTCAATGATCTAATTATATCGCTGACCCCATTTCGTCTTGTTCGGAGTGGGGTTACAAGACACGCATAAAAAATATTGTTCTCTGTTCAGATTAACCTATATGTACCGTACCGCACAGCGCGAAACTTGACAAAGACATGAAACTTTACCTTCAGACCTATTGTTATTGGGAAATCACGTCAGACAGCATAAACAGATACTGTTAAAGTCGATTTTTTGTGTGTATGGAAATGTTCGCTCTATGACTCTTTAAATTAAGTTATTGCGGTATGGGAATGTTCGCGGTGTCAATGCGTGTGTAATCTATGTATTCTATATGTCAATAATTTATGTAATCTAAAATCGCGTGTTGATATTTTTGCGTTTATTTACTTTTACTTAGTTTTAACACCGGGAACATTTCCACTCTTACAGTAATCAATCATGATTCACTTAACTTCACCTGTGCAGCATCGAGGTCCAGCGCTTGATGAAATTAGAAAATGTGTGGTACAGAGTCTACATGAATAAACATATACTATATTGCCATGTAATAATAAAGTGTTCAATCAATATTGTCTTGAGAGAAAAAAAGGTATCAAAATGCATAAATTATGATAAGAGCTAAGAAGAAATACATACAAAATGTAACGTCTCCCTCCGTAAACGAACTATCATAAAACAAGATTACACCTCTTGCTCAAAGCAAACTATTTTCTTTTATCAAGATTTACAGTCTCCTTCCAAACAAAAAATAATTTCGCAAGATATAACGCCTTGCTTCCAAACAAACTATCATTTCACAAGATTTAATTAGTAACGCCTCGCTCGTTTCATACTAACATTTCACAAGCCTAAACGCCTCGCTCCAAACAAACTATAATTTCACAAGACTGAACGCCTCGCTCCATACAAACTACAATTTCAAAAGACTAAACGCCTCGCTCCAAACAAACCATAATTTCACAAGACTAAACGCCTCGCTCCAAACAAACTATAATTTCACAAGACTAAACGCCTCGCTCTAAACAAACTATAATTTCACAAGACTAAACGCCTCGCTCCAAACAAACTATAATTTCACAAGACTAAACGCCTCGCTCTAAACAAACTATAATTTCACAAGACTAAACGGCTCGCTCTAAACGAACTATAATTTCACAAGACTAAACGCCTCGCTCTAAACAAACCATAATTTCACAAGACTAAACACCTCGCTCCAAAAAAACCATCATTCTACTAGCTATAACACCCCGCTCCAAACAAACCATGATTCTACTAGATATAACTCCTCGCTCCAAACAAACCATGATTCTACTAGATATAAAACCTCGCCCCAAACAAACTATCATTCTACTCGATATAACACCTCGCTCTAAACAAACCATAATTTAACAAGAATAAAAGCCCATCTCCAAACAAACTATAATTTAACAAGACTAAACGCCTCGCTCAAAACAAACTATCATTCTACTCGATATAACACCTCGCTCAAAACAAACAATAATTCTACTAGATATAACATCTCGCTCCAAACAAACCACCAATCTATTAGATATAACACCTCGCTCAAAAAAAACCATCATTCTACTAGAGATAACACCTCGCTCCAAATAAACCATCATTCTACTAGAGATAACACCTCGCTCCAACCAAACTATCATTATACTAGATATAACACCTCGTTCCAAACAAACCATCATGCTACTAGATATAACACCTGGCCCCCAACAAACCATAATTCTACAAGATATAACACCTCGCTCAAAACATTCTACTATATATAACACCTCGCTCCATACAAACCATCATTCTGCTATATACAACACATCGCTCGAAACAAACCATCATTCTGCTATATACAACACATCGCTTCAAACAAACCATCATTCCACTAGATATAACACCTCCCCCCAAACAAACCATCAGTCTACTAGATATAACACCGCGCTCCAAACAAACCATGATTCTACTAGATATAACGCCTCGCTCCAAACAAGCTAAAATTTCACAAGACTAAACGACTCGCAACAAACAAACTATAATTTCAAAGGACTAAACGCCTCGCTCAAAACAAACTATCATTCTCCTAGATATAACACCTCGACCCAAACAAACCATCATTTACTAGATAAAACACCTCCCCCAAACAAACATTCATTCTACTATATATAACTCCCCGCTCCAAACAAACCATTATTCTACTAGCTATAACACCTCGCTCCAAAAAAACTTTAATTTCACAAGACTAAACGTATCGCTCCAAACAAACCAACATTCTACTATATACAACACATCGCTTCAAACAAACCATCATTCCACTAGATATAACACCTCACTCCAAACAAACCACCATTCTACTAGATATAAAACATCGCTCCAAACAAAGCATCATTCTACTAGATATACACCTCGCTCCAAACAAGCTAAAATTTCACAAGACTAAAGGCCCCGCTCCAAACAAACCATGATTCTACTAGATATAAACCATCGCTCCAAACAAACCACCAATCTACTAGATATAACACCGCGCTCCAAACAAACCATAATTCTACAAGATATAACACCTCGCTCAAAACATACCAACATTCTATTAGATATAACACCTCGCACCAAACAAATCATAATTCTACTAGATATAAAACCTCGCTCAAAACAAACTATCATTCTACTCGATATAACACCTCGCTCTAAACAAACCATAATTTCACAAGACTAAACACCTCGCTCCAAAAAAACTTTAATTTCACAAGACTAAACACCTCGCTCCAAACATACCATCATTCTACTAGAGATAACACCTCGCTCCAAGCAAACCATCATTCTACTAGCTATAACACCTCGCTCCATACAAACCATCATTCTGCTATATACAACACATCGCTCCAAGCAAACCATCATTCTACTAGGTATAACACCTCGCTCCATACAAACCATCATTCTTCTAGATATAACACCTCGTTCCAAACAAACCATCATGCTACTAGATATAACACCCCGCTCAAAACAAACCATTATTTTACTAGATATAACACCTGGCTCAAAAAAAACCATCATTCTACTAGGTATAACACCTCGCTCCACACAAACCATCATTCTCCTAGATATAACACCTCGTTCCAAACAAACTATCATTCTCCTAGATATAACACCTCGACCCAAACAAACCATCATCCTACTAGATATAACACCGCGCTCCAAACAAACCATGATTCTACTAGATATAACATCTCGCTCCAAACAAACCATTATTCTACTAGATATAACATCTCGCTCCAAACAAACCTTCATTCTACTAGATATAAAACCTCGCTCAAAACAAACAATAATTCTACTAGATATAAAACCTCGCTCAAAACAAACTATAATTTCAAAAGACTAAACGCCTCGCTCAAAACAAACTAAAATTTCACAAGACTGAACGGCTCGCTCTAAACGAACTATAATTTCACGAGACTAAACGCAACGCACTAAACGAACTATAATTTCACGAGACTAAACGCAACGCACTAAACGAACTATAATTTCACGAGACTAAACGCAACGCACTAAACGAACTATAATTTCACGAGACTACACGCATCGCTCTAAACGAACTATAATTTCACGAGACTAAACGCAACGCACTAAACGAACTATAATTTCACGAGACTAAACGCAACGCACTAAACGAACTATAATTTCACGAGACTAAACGCATTGCTCTAAACGAACTATAATTTCACGAGACTAAACGCATTGCTCTAAACGAACTATAATTTCACGAGACTAAACGCAACGCACTAAACGAACTATAATTTCACGAGACTAAACGCATTGCTCTAAACGAACTATAATTTCACGAGACTAAACGCATTGCTCTAAACGAACTATAATTTCACGAGACTAAACGCAACGCACTAAACGAACTATAATTTCACGAGACTACACGCATCGCTCTAAACGAACTATAATTTCACGAGACTAAACGCAACGCACTAAACGAACTATAATTTCACGAGACTAAACGCAACGCACTAAACGAACTATAATTTCACGAGACTAAACGCAACGCACTAAACGAACTATAATTTCACGAGACTAAACGCAACGCACTAAACGAACTATAATTTCACGAGACTAAACGCATTGCTCTAAACGAACTATAATTTCACGAGACTACACGCATCGCTCTAAACGAGCTATAATTTCACAAGACTAAAGCCCTCGCTCCAAACAAACCATCATGCTACTAGATATAACACCTGGCTCAAAAAAAACCATCATTCTACTAGTTATAACACCTCGCTCCATACAAACCATCATTCTGCTATATACAACACATCGCTCCACACAAACCATCATTCTACTCGATATAACACCTCGCTCCATACAAACCATCATTCTTCTAGATATAACACCTCCCCCCAAACAAACCATCAGTCTACTAGATATAACACCTGGCCCCCAACAAACCATAATTCTACAAGATATAACACCTCGCTACAAACAAACCATCATTCCACTAGATATAACACCTCCCCCAAACAAACATTCATTCTACTATATATAACTCCCCGCTCCAAACAAACCATTATTCTACTAGATATAACCCCTCGCTCCAAACAAACCAGCATTCTACTAGATATAAAACCTCGCCCC